TAAAATCCCATAAGTACAACTTATCCATATAGTTTCAATGCTTATAGAATCTGTGTTAGGATAACAAACCTATTTTTCAAGTGCTACACAAACTGATTGAGTTAAAATACAAGAATTTAGACAGGATATGGAAAGTACCCTTAAAGCTTCAGTATTCATTTCACCATCACAGAAACAACACTTACGGAGTGAGCTCCTCTCTACGGACAAGCAACCGGATGCCGGCATTACTCTGCCCTTCCCACCTGAACTTGTACCCAAAGAAGTGGGGTGGGACCCCAGACTGCTAGCACAGAGACTCTCTGGGAAGCCACTTGGTAAAATATTTGGCCAGTGACCTGCCTTTTTACGGACAGATGCTTCTATGAAACAAACAGAACAATAAAACCCCAAACCTCCCAGACGTCAGTTATCACTTGATGTCTTCATTTGTGAGACTGATTTATTTTTGTTTTAAAGAAACCCCAAAGTAAGAGAAAAATATATCTTTGTTCTCTAGTCCCAGCAACAGTGAAACCAATAAGAAAAATTTACTTTTTCCTCCCTTGAACAGTACATTATCTTTCCACATTTCTTATCGAAATTTTCTTTGCAGTCGTAAAGCAGCCCTACACAATCTAAAAATCTATTGTTATTATTGTGTTTCCTTTTGGGCATTGCTTCAGATTTTTTTTTTAATGCCTCAGTAGACGGCACACACAGACACACATACTGCAGAGATCTTTTCAGTGATCAAAGAAATAATTAGGAGCAGACTTATCTCCTTTTTATAAATGATAACAAATGACTACAGGTCTAATCAAGTAAAATGACTTTTGAAAGGGCAGCCAGGGAACCAGACAGAAGATTCTAATTCTGCTGTTACATCAAACCCAAAGCATGGGCATACTAGTGTGAACTGCAGGAGGACTAGCCCCCGGCCTGAGGGGTGACTGCACCGAGGATCAGCAGTCCTGTGTCACGAACACACTGTTTTCGGGCCCACGTGCAGTGGCTGGACAGGGGAGAGCGGGCCCGCCACGGCGCTCCCGGCAAGCCAGAGCCGCTTACCCTCCCTTCCTCTGCTTTCTCAACGTTAAACGCTAACATTTGAAACGTCCTGGGAAGGAGTTGGTGTGGGAGCGCCTGCTGAAGAGCTGTAGGGTCAAAGCCACAGCTGGAGCGATTTCCAGTATAAAGTCCCCTGCTCGTGCTCCTTTTTACAAATAACCAGTGGGTGCTAGTCCTCAGATTAGCATGACGACACTTTTCTCCCTCTTCACAAGGTGGCCTTGCACTCGGGTCAGCTGTGACTTCTCCACTAGCCACAGTGAGGAAGAAGGAACCTCTATGTCAGCTGTTTCAAAACCTTTGTATTTTGGACCTGTCAGTATTAAAAATGAGTCGCTCTCCCAGGGACATGTGGTGACGGCTGCTGTGTAGAGGAGGTGGCAGAGACGTGCTCCCTAACAGAGGGAGCTGGGGGCATCAGAGAACTCAGGGATAATCTAAGATAAAGTGTAGAAATCGCCTCCAGGAAACTGGGCTTCTGGTTGATTCCAGGAGCACGCTCACGGTGCGCGCGTGCAAACGGAACCCCGCGTTTAGGAAAGGAAAAGCGTACACTGACCGCCACAGCCGCTTCATCTGTGCAAGCATTCCTCTTACACAGTGTCGCAACACCCAAGCACTGTCCTTCAGGGTCCAAGCATTAGAAAATCATGAAACCTGAATTTGCGTGAAGCAACACTCAGCTCCTTTTGGGAGACAAGGCAGGAGGCTGACCTGCTGCTATACTGCCAACTCACAGAAACTGTTCAGAGTCCTCCAGCAACACATTCAAACTCATCTGCTTGTCTCAGAGACAACGCAAGGAGCAACGGCTCAGAGAAGCCATCGAAGAAGCAAGCCCAAAGGATTCTCATTCACACACATACTAGTGTGAACTGTAGAAGTGGACTGATTTATAAATTGTTCGGGTTTTATAAAACTTGTTTTTGAGGTGGTGCGTGAAGCATGACTTCAAATTCCAGATGATTTCAAACACCAGGTCATTTACTCGGAATACTTCTGTGCATGTGATACTGAAGGTTTTGCTTACAATTAAATCTGATTTAGATAATTTATGTTTAAAACAGTGTCTTTAAAATACTAAAAATATGTGTACTGAAAACTATGTGAATGAGCCCGCCACTTAGTTTTTCCGTGTGCACTTGTACACGCAGCCTATTTAAAACCCACCGCAAAGCTGCAAACGCTAGTTAGAATGTGAGCAAGCGAGCAAAATCACTAGGGGCTGCAGTACAGACCCCCGCACAGGGGAGTCACCACCACGTTTAACTTTGGAAGTCGGTTTCTGGCATAACCCACAACCGGGTTTCCCAAAGCAAGCCGAAAGATGGAGGTCGTCACGGCTCCGAGACCACTTTTCTCTATGGGGCTCTAAATCTTCCCTGAAATTCAAATAACCCACTTTGTCTAGAGAGAGCTAGCGTCCCTGTGTAAGAATCGTCCCCCCATAAGAAATGAAATCAAGCCAATCGGGCACGTCACAGAGCACTGGGTCGCTTAGACCAGTCTCCCTGTGGTAGATTTTTATGAATGTGTATTCTTCTTCAGTTGGTTCTTTGCAATGGCAGTCACATTTTAATTTAAATTCTCTAGCTTAAAAGTAAGTAAGAAACAGAAGGAATTGTAGCATTTTCACAGAAGAATAAAACACAGTCCCAACCCTCTGCCAGAAAGTACACCATGGTTTCGGGCTCCTCGGCCGCCGAAGGCGCCGGCTTCAGCAGCACCGGGGACTGGGAAGGGGAGCCGAGGCCGCTGGACCCGGCCGTGTCGGGGTGGCCGGTGCTGGCTCCCGTCTTCTCGAGCAACCCTATCTTTCTATTAGGATGGCTAAAAACTCAGCTGTGCCACATCTCAGTTCCAGAGTTCTCCCTACGAAAGGAAGAGACCTCTTCTGAACAGTCTTTCTCATTTCCATTCCATCACTGAGCAGAGAACTAAGAATTTCTGGGACCCACCCAAAGAGTGGAACAAAGATAAAGAAACCCATACACATTCAAACAACTCCTACTTCAGAGAAGGGCGATGCTTCTGTTTCTTTACAGCAGCACCCATTTTAGCTCCCTGCTGACCGGGCGAGAAGGCAGGACAGACACAAGATGGCTCCTCCTGGCCCAGCCTGCCTGCGACTCAACTCGCTGCTGGAGTTGACGGTTGTGACCTCTGAGCGTTACAGGTCTCGCACAAACCCACCCTCAGATTTTAAGCACCTGGTATTACGGTTAAGTAAACAGAAGGAAATAATTCCGTAGGGGCACCAACTTACTGAGAACTCACAAGAAACTCAACTTTCAAAAGAGAAAATTCACCTCTGGGTAATGCGACATGAATGCACTTCCAACGTGCAGGCGACAAATAGCTGGAGCTTCTTTCGGGAGCAGGTACTTGGGGAGGACACAGGCGCGCGCTCAATCGTGTCGCCCCGCACGGCCCGCCATCCATGGAGGCAGTCGGGGCTCGGGTGGTCCTGGCAGCTAGGAGCCGGCAGACCCATGGCCTGAGGGACATGTGGAATTCTGACCCAGTTGTGACACAAATAGGAAGCCCTTTACAGAAACTTGTAGAACAGAATCGAAAGGAACCTCACAATCGTCCAGTCCACCCCTCTGCCCAGGACAAAACAAAACACTGAGCGATGTGACAACTGACGAGGCGGAACTGGGATCCAAGCAGCGGAGCAAAACCCGATGGGCCTGGGCGGCCCCGCTCAGGAGGGTTTCTGACAGACATGTCAAGTCCGTTCTCCTGGAGATGCCAGGCTGTGCCCAGGGAGAGGAAAGGGTGCGGAGGCGCGCAGATGTGGTGGGCGTGCACGTGTGGGCAGCGCCAGTGTGTGAGCCTGCGGGGGTGAGCACTCTGCCTAGGCGCTCAGAGCCCAGAGAGCCCTGCGAGTGCCCCCGGTGCTCTCTGGAGGCCAGTGGCAACAGTGGACCTGTCTAGGCGTCCCTGTGGCAAAATTCTTCCCCTGCGAGGGCAGCAGGGGCCAAGCAGACAGGACCGGCAGTGCCCCCAGCCTGCCCTGTGCGGTCTGCGAGGGCGCGGGGCGGGTGGAGGACGGCCGGGGCCAGGTGTGAGGACGGCTGGAAGCCACGTGTGAGGGACAGCGGCCTGCCCCCCAGGCTCACCCTGTGCCCTGCCTTCCTTGCACTGCCTTCTGGCAAACTGGTTTCCCACCAGGGAGCAGAAGGGGGAGCTGTGGTGGTTCCCGGTGCCCGCAGGCCCCCTCTCCTGGCCGCTGACAGCGGAGCTTGCTGCTAGGGACTCCCAAGAAATGCGCCCTCTCCAAACCGCCAGCATCCCCTCAGCTAAGTGGCCTGCACCCCGGTAGCTGACACCCAGTGTCCAGTGTCGCTGCCTCATCTTGCTCCTTCGCTCCTTCTGCTGACCTACTGACAGCCTACAGGCGTGGGCAGGGGGCCTTGTGGAGTTTTCTGAGGACCTTTTCTGAAGGGAGGAAGTGACTAGGAGAGAACCTGACAGGACTTTCTGCCAGGCAAAGGAATGTAATTCTGAAACCCCCAGAGCTGGGGCGAACTGGCTGAACTGGATCCTGCTCAGCCACAGCCGCCAGATGGTGCTTCTGCCAATGCCTCCATTTCTCTGTTTGCAGAATGGGGGTAAAAGCCTCACTCTGGGTTGTGAAGTTTACATAAATACAAAGCACCTGCCTCAGCGCTGCGCGTCTCAGCCCTGAGGTGTTAGCTATCGGCAAATGTGGAGACAGCCACCTTCCCACCAGCACCGGACAGAAGAAACCCTCGCCTCCCGCCCTGACTGGCACCCCCTGGGCCACCACCCCCAGCCCTCAGTTCTGCCAGGCCCCAGCAGCCCTGCCCCTCCTGGGGATGCTCGCAAAGGCAGGCAGACAGCCACATGCGGAGCGCCAGAGGGGAGCAGAGCGCGGGTCCCCTACCTGTCCTGGCTGACCAGTTTTGGGGGTGTTTTCCTACCTGCCCCAGGTTTTTGCCCTTCTTACTGCCGCTGAAAGCCAGTCCTGGGTATAAGCCCGCAGATCGATTGGCGGCCTGGGCAGGCGTCTCCCCGCCCAGGGAGGCCTTGATGGAGTTGAGCTTGGCCCGCGAGCTGCCGAGCTGGGAGCTCTCCACCATCAGCACCGCGGCCAGTAGGAGCAGGCAGCGGGATGAGTCCTTGTTCCGCATCTGCACCGCCATCGCCCGCGAGGGTCCCGGGGGAGGCGCACAGCCTGGAGGGGTGCTGTTCCACGGCAGGACCCCAACTGGGGCCTCTCGCTCAGACTGTGGGCGCAGGCTGTCCCCCGACCACTTGGCCTCGGCCCAGCACCCCGCAGACTCAGTCTCAGCCTCAGCCCAGGAGGGAGTGCGCCCTCAGACCCGCGCCTCCGGCAGGGCAGGAAGTTCTGCAGTCCCTGGAAGCAATCAAAGGCCAGGCGCCTGCTCGCCAAGGAGGCGTGACCCGAGGGGCGAGAAGACCCAGCCCCAGGGCCGGCGCTTCCCGCTCGCTTGCCCCCCGCGTCCTGCCCCGCGGCTCCGCAAAGCCCGCTCCTCCGCTGGGCTGGCCGGGTCCACACTCCTTTCTCCTCTGGCCGCAGTGGCTTTTCTCCTCTCCTTCTCCGCTCCTTCTGCTTCAACTTCACGGGGCACCAGCGAGGCGACCAGGAACCGCCCCCAGACCGGCCCTTGGCGCCGGGGGAGGTGAGCCGCGGTCCCGCTCCCGTGCGTCGGTCCGCGCAGGCAGCGGAGCTCCAGGTTGCCCGCAGGCAGCAGCTCCCTCCGCAGATGCTGGCTGCCCGCACACCGTCCCTCTCCTCTGCGCTTCACCTCCGCCCCCTTTGCTTTTTATAGCTTCCAAGTGAGTTTTTTCCCTCCGCCCCCAATTCAAGAGCGACAAAGAGTGAAAAGGTTCCTGTCACCCCCAGCCCCGCCCCCGCCCCTCCAGCCGCTCTTTCTGCAGAGCCCCCTCCCTCCTTCCTTCCCTGCCCTTCCTCTGCCTCACAACACCCAGAAAATGGGACTGGCCCAGAGGAACTCCGGCTCCCATTTCGGAGGGCTCCAGAGGTGGACTGAACTCTGGCCACCCGGTCCTTGCACCCAGCCTGCTGGAGAAAGCCCTGGAGAGTTCCAGCCAGCATCTGAGCTCCCACTGGCAGGAGGAGTGCACCGGCTGGGTAGGCTGCCTGGACCGGCTGGGGGCACGTGGGGAGAAGTGCAGGCCAGGGGAAGGGTCCTGTGCTCCCTCCAGGTGACTTTGCAGCCTCCACAGTCCAGCCCAGCAGCTGCCTGCAGCCCCCGGGAGGGAGGGAGGGAAGGACCAGAACACCCCGCTGAGCTTTGCACTGAGAGTCTGGACTGCCCGGTGGGGAGAAAGCCCCAGGCTGATAGTGCAGGCGGCAGTCCAGAGGTCCTGCCAGGCTCCAGCCTCCCAGCCTGCAGCAGTTCCCGGGAAATCCTCCTGTGAGCCAGTCGGAGGGCGCTGCTCTGGTCTGTCCGCCTTGGGAAGGTCGGAAGAAGCTGGGGGAGCCAGGGACTGGGGCACGCTGGCGCAGGGCGCTTGGGGGCGCCAGCGGCAGTGGCTGGAGAAGCAGGGAAGGACTGCGGAGACCAGCTGTCCCAGGCTGGCGCCAGGCTTGGAAAGGTTTGTACTGCGAGCGAGCGAGCGTGTGGAGGTTTCCAGAGCAAGGGGGCGGGTGTGCGGGCTGATCAAGCAATTGCATTTCTCCCCACCCCCACACACGAAGGCCGGGCTAAAGCAAAGCAGGCAGCGGGCACCACCCCAGGCCCATGGTACCAGGTTCCTCAGCTTGCACACCTGAGCAGCACCGCCTGCGCCCACCAGGTGGAAGACTGCAAGTGACACTTTCCTTTTCCCTACAGAGGGCAGGTCCTAGTGTGAATGTGCAGCGAGGTCTTTCTCCGTCCCATCTGTCAGTCTGTCTGCTATGAAACTCTGCATTTTCAGAAGTATTTTGGAACCCTCTGGCACGCTTGCCAGACTTTGAGTTTCCTGAGCTCCCCTAAGGAAGACATTTCACAAAGAAATTTGGGGGCCTTTTAAAAGTGCTCCCTGGAGTAGATATGGAGGAACACACAAAACAGGGAGCACCCAGGCACTCGTGGAGGGCACGCACACAGAGCCTTCTCACCAGGCTGCGGGGCTCAGAGTTGCATTGTACCGAAGGGGCTTTATTCCAATTTGCCGGTCAGAAAAATGGAAGACTTTTCTCCTAGTTAAGATTTTACATATTGAATCTGCTACTTTAAAGCATGGCTTAGAGTCCTGTGGGCAGAAGAGCAAGAGCTCTCTGTGAGGGGCAGGCAGACCAGTGCTGAAGTACCCCAGGGCCAAGTACCCCTAGCTCCTCTCCAATCACCCTGTCACAGAGTGCTCAGCCCAAGGGCATCCTGAGAGAGGGCCCCTCGAGGCTCACACATTACCCCGCCCTCTGCCCCAGCAAAGGGTGCATGCCCACATGAACACCAAGGTCCCCGTGGCTCTAGGGAACAGGCCTCTGAGGCCACCAGAGCGACTAAAAGCAGTGTCCTTCGAGGCCTGCAGGTGCTCTGGGGGTGTGAGATGGCCCAGGGGCTTGCGCAGAGGGGCTGGCAGCCCAGTGCCAGGCCTCAACCCTCAGACTCCAGCTTCCCGCCAGGAGGGACTCACTGTGATGAGCCTCCCTCCACTGCGCTGTCCTCGGATGCTGCAGAATCCCACCAACCTAGGCCTCACCCCAGTCCCAGATGCCGGAACTGGTGAGATGTACCGCCCTGGGCACACCAACTCTAGAGGCGACTTCTGTCCGTTTCTTTCCTCAGAAGCACACTTAACAGTATACAAGCAGGTCGGAAGACTCTCTGCCTTTGAAACCCAGTTTAGGCCAGGAGAAACACAAGCATGGCAGTCAGCTTGAGGAGATGTTACTATAGCTCCCAACATCGTCTCGTCCCGTACATGGACACAGAAAGCCTCCACCCTTGGGAAAGACACGCATGCAGGCCTCCTCTCCCCACAGCAGCCAGCTCACTGGCCCTCCATTCTGCCTGTTCCCACACCTCCGTGGGTGTGTGGGCTGCTGGTGAGCCTCACTCGGCCCTAGAGCAACGGTGAGCGACGGCCATTATGCTGTGAACAATTTGTAATAAATGGAAGTCGGCACTGGAGCTGTGGGCATGTTAAGGCATTTCTTGACATGAAAAGCAGCACCTTCTCTTTGACCCCTGCCAGAGTTTCAGCCTCTCCCTTCTGCCCTGACCCCACGGGCAACACAGTAGCCATGAGAGGAAGGCAGTAGGAGCTCCCCACTCCCACTCAGCACCTTCCAGGCAGCTCCCAGAATATCACACTTGTCGGTCATTGCCAATTCTTGGTACCTGCCACCCAAGTGAGGGAGAGTTACTGGTCATCCCATCCCTCCAGCTTGAACCCAGCCCATAAGACACGTGCGAATAACAAGCATGTGTGTGGTCGGACAAGCTGTTCCCCGCCCGAGCACGGGGGCAGCCGTAGGTAGAAATGTAGGTAGAAATGAAACTGGAATTAACTCCCAGGGTGTCGCACTGGATCTTCCCCTGTGTGATCATGGCCGCTGCTGGTTCCAGGCACTTGCTAAGTCTGCAAGCTCTCTCAAGGCTCAGCGTTGCGGAGAGCCTTACACTTGGCAGCGAGGGCAGTAGTATGTTCAGCTCTTGAGTGAGGTTCATTGCAAGAAATCTCATTACAAGCAGCAAAGCAACTTGAGCTCCTGTGGACCAGTGGCTACCACCCTGCCGCCAGCCCAGCCAGCTCTGCAGCAGGGCACTGCTCCACATGCTCCAGCAGGAGGCTGGAGACTGGCTGCTGGCCTTGACAGAACCTCACAGGGAGGCTCTTCAGCAATGCGCATTTTTTAAATGCCTCTTTTGGCTGTTATTTTTATGGAGGGGGGTGGTGGTTGGCTGGCTTGTTGGTTTTAATTAACTATGAACTGCTAAGATTTGGAAGCCACAGGAGTTGGGCAAAATATTCTAGGAGCCCCAGCCTGCAGCAACAGGAAGGCTGACTTCCACCCCGCTACCACTGCAATTTCCAAAACAAACACTACTCCAGTGGGGAAATGATCGAAAGTCTGGCGATTGAACACTCAGAAATGATGGGATCATTTAAAGCAGCGACATCACAAGCGGAGGCGGCCATACACCGGCACTCACTCCTATCCGAACGGACGAATGCACTTGGGAAAACTTGGTAACACAAACTGTGGCACAGATTAAAAAGTAAAAAATAAAAAAGTATATCTTACCTGGGGCTTCCCTGGTGTCGCAGGGCTGAAGTCTCAGCACTGTGAAGCTGTCCGCAGCTGCTGCAGCACGAGTTTGATCCCAGGTCAGGAAGTGACCCACTTGGCACAGCAGACCTCTCCTGCCCCCAGGCTCCTCTCAGCAGTGCATTTCAGTTAGCTCGCCTGTTTTGACCCCCACTCTGTCTCTGGTGTCTCCCCTCTAGCCCCCTGCACATGTAGCCTGCACCCCAGCTCTTCAATGTATTAATAAATATACATATATATATTTAAAGTATATCTTACCTTTTGATGTTTCAGGAGCAGGACACAAGGCAAAACAAAAACAAAAACAAAAAAAACCAGTTTGGAGGTATGAAAAGTCGCGAAATCAAACTTCAGTCCACTTGGGAATTTCACAGTTAACGGTTGGAATATGTGGCGATCATAACAGTGACAATTGCTAGACTCCATTGAATGCTTGCTAGGTGCCAGGCTTACTAGGTTCTCTCCCTGTATTACCCACTACTTCTCACTCCCATCTCATGACTCATGCCCTCAAAGCAGTCAACAACCTCATGTCAAGATCAGCCTGCATGAGGGGCAGCCCACCTCATCTGCTGTCAGGTGCTCAGTGATGGCACCGCGGGAAGCGCCCAGGACAGGCAGAGACCTGCAGAGAAAACCAGGTGCCTCTGCTGAATGCACCAGGGCCTCACACTATCTTCCGTGAGGAGACAGGAAAAATGACTTGGCCACACCAAGACTCACGAAGAAGCCCAAGAATACAAGCCATGAGCACACACACTGCAGCTCTGCCTAACACAGCAAAGCTCCTTGGAAAGCGAACGATTATTTAACAGAGAACCAAAGAACACACTAAACAGTGCCCTGCCACATTCCAAAACAACATCATCTCCACACGAAAGCAACTTTCCAATCTTCCTGGTGGCACTTTTCTTCCCAGCTGAGTTAGTGATGTTGATAGCCTACCTTGCTCCTGTGTGTGAACTG